TGGTCTCAACTCCAGACCTCAGGTGATCTGCCTGCCTTGGCCTCCGAAAGTTCTGCAATCACAGGCGTGAGCTCCACGCCCGGCGAAAAAAGTTTTTTGTCTTTTTTTTTTGAGATGGAGTTTCGCTCTTGTTACCCAGGCTGGAGTACAATGGCGCGATCTCGGCTCACCGCAACCTCCGCCTCCTGGGTTCAGGCAATTCTCCTGCCTCAGCCTCCCGAGTAGCTGGGATTACAGGCACGTGCCACCATGCCCAGCTAATTTTTTTGTATTTTTAGTAGAGATGGGGTTTCACCATATTGACCAAGATGGTCTCGATCTCTTGACTTCGTGATCCACCTGCCTCGGCCTCCCAAAGTGCTGGGATTACAGGCTTGAGCCACCGCGCCCGGCCCGAAAAAAGTTTTTAAAGGGAGAGAAGGGGAAATTAGTTGTGCAATGTCAGGAAGCGTGCATGCTTGCTTCCCTCCCACCTTTAATCCCATTAGAGGACTCACAAACTCCACACATTTCCTTTTGTGCCCTTCCTTCCTATCCACACTTTTCCTTTCTTCCAACCATCCTGTTGCAAGATGGGATGCATTCCTCTAGGACAAACAGCCTAGAGGAAAAGACTTTAAGGAAAACCAGGAAAAGGACAGAGGACTACCCAATAGATATAAAACATATTTGTGAAGGGATAAGACTGAAAGAGTTTTCCTAACTGTAATACTTGCTCTGTATAGATTCTAGACATGGATGTTAAGATTCAACTAGGAATGGTACTAAAGCAAAACAATAGAAAACATGCATAAATCTATACTTCTTGGCATGCATATGACTGACATAATATTCTAATCATGTACAAAGTGGTAGAATAAATTATGTAACCTACTCAGATGCTTTTTTCAACTTGTAAAACTAACTATAAATAATGGAATAATCTGTTCTTTGCCTATGAGTGGCTAGACACAATCAACAGGGTTAGGACAGTCACAATCATCTTAACCAGTGGATCAAACTGAAATATAAAAAGCATGCAACCTGAATAGACAGGTTCTCTTACAGGAAAACGAAATCATTCCAGAAGGCCTCATTGAAAACCTCCATAACTGACAACAGTATCTAACAATCGTGATCGATATGCAAACTATTTGCTCTATCCTAAAGAAGCATTTATTATGTAAAAATAGTTAGAATGCCAAACCTGCATTCTCTGTCTAGAATTCAAAAGAATTTACACTCTAAGGCTGCACCCAGCACAGACCAATCATATGGGATTGGATGATACCCATGCTTTAAAAAACGCAATTTGCTTTTAGAAAACTTGTTCAAGTGCCCTCTCGCTTTCTCCCTCCCCTGGCAAAAAAAAAAAAAAAAAGAAAGAAAGAAAACTTGTTAAAGTTTCACCTTCTGGCTTTGGAAGATAGGGGTAGCTAGGCATATTTACTTTTGGACAAGGACTGAGTCACACATTAACTGTGAGATTATTACAAATATATTTCACATATACAAAAAAACTGAAGCAAAGGGGGCTAATTTCTCCAAGGTCCCACAGCAAGTAACTACAGAAGGACAAAGCAAAAATAGGACAACACATGCAGGCAATACCAAGGAGGTCTTGTGGCAGCAACTGGAAACCTTTCGGAGACACACTTCCACATTTCATTGTAGTCATACACAAAACCTTAGTTATGGATCCATGCTTCTCATGACGCCAAAATGGCACCATTCTAATTTATGAACACAACGTTTTCTAAAAACTACCCAAATTATTGAAGTGTTTTTGCCCACTTCTTCCCATTAGAATAAACGTAGACAGTAAGAAACGCTGAGGGATGACGCAGTCCTCCATCAAATGTGTCCTTTCACACGAGAGGCATGGTGTAGTGTAGCAGGATCATGAGCTGCCAGGAAATTATGAAGTCTTGATTCCTCCAGCTGAGTCTTTGAAAAAGTCCAGATGGGAAACGCTTCCATCCTGATGCTGAAGCAAGGAGAATGTCCTTGTGTGAGGAATTCTCAACATCAACTGCAGCTAAGTTCCCTGGAGCCATGATAAAAGCACTTTTCTGTCCCGATTCTTCTTTACACACATGTACCCATTCAGGTCTTTACAGATATTTCCCAGGAAGCCTTTATAAGTACTTAAAATGCACTCAATATTAACATAGAATACTTTATTTACATCTCACATTAGCCAATCCATTGATTAACAAAGTCAACACAGGATGGAAGTATAGAACCTAATAGTCCAGGCTGGGTGTAGTGTAATCCTAGGACCTTGGCATGCCTCTAATCCTAGCACCTTGGGAGGCCAAGGCGGGATCACCTGAGGTCAGGAGTTTGAGACCAGCCTGGCCAACATGGTGAAATCCCGTCCTTGAAAAAAAAAAAAAAAGAATTAGAATCTAACAGTCCAAGAGACCAAGATCCTAATCCCTTGTTTTGCCACTTGTTAGTGTATCATATCATTAATTCCTTGTCTATAAAACAAGAAATGGTCACATCAAGATTGTCGTGAGGATTAAATATCATGTATTTATGTATATATAACTTATTTACTACAAATACTAGTTGACTTCATTTTATTTCAAAAAAAAATAGGCACATGTAACAAAACATTAACATGTCATTTCTAGGTAGTTGATACTTGTATTTTATACTTCTCCGTATTTCTTTAAATTTTTCAAAATAAAATAATGATCCTATATACTTTTAATACAAAGTCACACATGTAGGACATCACTTTATAGGCAGGGAATCTTTATGAAATAAACTATGTGCTTTCAACAAACTCCTTAGAACAATGGTTTATTGCGGCCGTGCGCGGTGGCTCACGCTTGTAATCCCAGCACTTTGGGAGGCCGAGGCGGGTGGATCATGAGGTCAAGAGATTGAGACCATCCTGGTCAACATGGTGAAACCCCGTCTCTACTAAAAATATAAAAAATTAGCTGGGCATGGTGGCGCGTGCCTGTAATCCCAGCTACTCAGGAGGCTGAGGCAGGAGAATTGCCTGAACCCAGGAGGCGGAGGTTGCGGTGAGCCGAGATCGCGCCATTGCACTCCAGCCTGGGTAACAAGAGCAAAATTCCGTCTCAAAAAAAAAAAAAAAGAACAATGGTTTATAACAAAGCAGAACTGCAACAAGAACCACAGGTCAGAAATAGAAGGGATGTCAGAAATCTAATCTAACTTTGACTTTTTAGACTAGGAAACTGACTGAGTGGCTTTTCGAATTTATGTCCAGCTGGTTAATGCCAACACCAACAGAAACACTCTGATCCTGGTTTCCTAAAATAGTATTTGGAATAAATACACGTGAAAATTTTTCTCATTTTTAAAATTTCGAAGTCCAATTTTATGGCACAACTTTACAATGCAAATTCTTGCTATTTCACTTTCTGCATACAGCTGAATAGTTTTGTTTTGTGAAAATACTGACAAATTTGCCTTCATGAATTAAGTACACTGACTTCCAGAACAAGTTGTTAAAAATTTAACACAGAAAAGGTAGTTAAAGGTGCTCATCAAGAGAGTCCTTTTCATTGGTATGAACCCAAAAGCTATGAAAATACCTTTTGTATTGGCCAGGCGTGGTGGTTCATACCTGTAATCCCAGCACTTTGGGAGGCCCAGGCGGGCAGATCACCTGAGGTGGGGAGTTCAAGACCAGCCTGACCAACATGGAGAAACCTCATCTCTGCTAAAAATACAAAATTAGCTGGGCGTGGTGGTGCATGCCGGTAATCCCAGCTACTTAGGAGGCTGAGGCAGGAGAATCGCTTGAATCTGGGAGGTGGAAGTTGCAGTGAGCTGAGATTGCAGCACTGAACTCCAGCCTGGGCAACAAGAGCAAAACTCTGTCTCAAAAAAAAAAAAAAAAGGCCGAGCGTGGTGGCTCACACCTGTAATCCCAGCACGTTGGGAGGCCAAGGCGGGCAGATCACGAGGTCAAGAGATCGAGACCATCCTGGCCAACACAGTGAAACCCCATCTCTGCTAAAATACAAAAATTAGCTGGGCATGGTGACGTACACCTGTAGTCCCAGCTACTCGGGAGGCTGAGGCAGGAGAACTGCTTGAACCTGGGAGGTGGAGGTTGCAATGAGTCGAGACAGCACTCCAGCCTGGCGCCTGGTGACAAAGCAAGCCTCTGTCTCAAAAAAAAAAAAAAAAACTTAAGTATGAACAGCATGCAGAAAATTAAGAATTCATTCCATTTGAAGAAATACATCATATAATGGAAACATTTTAAAGTTTATCTCTGGAAAATAATTGAAAATCATATATCAAAAATTATATACTTAAATATCTTAAATGCATACAAAAGGCAGTTTATAGATTATTCTAAAAAAGGTTTTTAGAAAAGTCTAAACTAGGATTATCACAATTAACTTAGCACAGTGCTATCAACTAATTTTATTTTACTAATAAGAATCTGAATTTTTCCAACAAAAAAACAGGCTTTCTTACAGACTGCTATAAGATGGTGGGTTCCCAAGGCTCCTGTTGTAGCATTCCTCTCCTGTAATACAACACATTGCATGTGTACAAATCCACAGCACCCCCCCGCAAAAAAATCTGAATTTTAAAAAAAGTGATATAATTTAAGGGCACCATTTGAAATTATTTGGTATCTCATGGTATAGCATTCTATTTCCAGACACATCAGCATTCCTACAGCCAAAGGACTGGGAAATGACCAACCAGCACAGCACCCAAAAGAGTATAAACAACGACAGAGACAACTCCTGAGTGTGGTTCTCCACAGCTGTATGTCAACAGCACTAACAATATCAAACAGGTTATTATGGAAACATCAGGTTTAATACCTTATAAAATATGTATAGAAATTGAATCCTATAAGATACAGGTCAAGTCACAATGGAATTATAAATGTAATCAGATATTCTGATATAATGAAAAGTTCTAGCTGGTTTTTTAAAAATGCATGTAAACCATAAAAGATAAAAAGTATTTAAAAATACACAAAATTCTAACCACTGGGTTTAAACTTTGATTTTAAAAACATATATATTTAAAATCTTTAAATTTCACACATTTGTTACTTATACATGATCTTTATTATCAGGATAACATAAGAAAAACCTCTTTTAACCACTCGCATAACAGAAAAAAAATTAATAGACAGGCTGTTAGATTGTTACATACATAGTAGCTAAAACATGAAAGGCCAGGGACTTTATTATTAATGGAGTCATAAAACAGACTTAACTAAAACTGTGTGCTAGGAAACAAGCAGTTTCACTTCAGAGATGTCATTGCAGGAACCCAGTTTCCTTATGTGGAAAAGAATGATTATAAATAACAGTTATCTGAAGGGTGGTTGAAAGGATTAAATGAGATCACCTATGCAAACAAACACCTGTAGGTATTAAGACATTGTCTGGGGTATGTGAAAGTTTAGTTCACACCAGAACCTTCCTTTAAGGCTTAAAAACCTCAAACAGTATTTCTTTCTTAATACAAGAACCAATGTTTAAAGCATAAAATCCTTAATTGGAGTGTTCAGGCCAGTTGATTATTGAAAGCTATTTATAAAATGCTTCAATACTGACGATATTAAAGCAACCAAAACTCTGTGATGCTCACAAAGGTTTGGCTTCCTGGGTTATGGTCCAAAGACATTTCCTTCTGAGAAGATTGCAGAGATGTCAGATACTTAATTTCTCAGATAACTCGGCATCAGCCTTCTATGTTTTCTGTCTATCATAGTCTCCAACCATCTTCTTGATGTGTGACAATTTGCTCTTTAACTGCTTGCAATGATTCTTCTTACTTTTGTAATCTGCAGACTAAAAAGGGAGAAAATAAATCACATAAATTCAACAAAATAAAAGCAGGTCTGCTGGGAAGGTAGAGGTGAACAAAAAAAGTGGAAGATTTAGTCAGAGAATTGTTGGGAGTGTTAACTGAAGTAATATACTCAAGGTGTCTGGCAGTATCACTAACCACACAGGCGGCTGATTGTTTGCTCAATCCTATCTTCTAACCTGGGTTTTTACAAAGGATAACCTCATTTCTAAAAATCTGTAAAATGACCAAGAAAACTTATGGGCCTTTTTGCTAACACATCATCTAAAACTGTAAGTAAAACAAGAAACTGGTGATCTCAGTTGACTGGGGAAAGGAAAACTGAATAGGGGATAAGAGAGACGGGAAATTTTACTGTATACCCTTTAAACTCTTACTTAAAATCATGATGCCTGTAATTTATAACTTTTTCTGGGGGGGAAAGGGTCTCATCCTATTGCCTAGGCTGGAGTGCAGTGGTACAATTACAGCTCCCTGCAGCTCTGAACTCCTGGGTTCAAGGAATCTTTCTGCCTCAGTCTCCCTAGTAGCTAGGACTATAGGCATGTATCACAGCACCTGGATAATTTACAAAAATGTTAACATAAAACTTTTCTTAATGTTTTAAGTCAATAATGACTGACATGCCAAGTGTTGCCAACGGTATAGAGCAACAGGAGTCTGGAATGGTTGGTGGGAATGTAAACTGGAACAGCTACTTGGAAGGTTGTTTGACAGTATCTACTAGGCCAGGCGCAGTGACTCACGCCTGTAATCCCAGCACTTTGGGAGGCCGAGGCGGGTGGATCACAAGGTCAAGAGATGGAGATCATCCTGCTCAACACGGTGAAAAACCCGCCTCTACTAAAAATACAAAAATTATCTGGGCATGGTGGCACATGCCTGTAGTCCCAGCTATTCGGGAGGCTGAGGCAGGAGAATTGCTTGAACCCAGGAGGCAGAGGTTGCGGTGAGCCGAAATCACGCCATTGCACTCCAGCCTGGGCAACAAGAGTGAAACTCTGTCTCAAAAAAACAAAACAAAACAAGACAGTATCTATGAAAGCTGGATACACACATGCCCATCACTTCTATGTTCAAACATTTACAAATGTTTGAAGCTGCATTTTTTTTTTTTTTTTTTTTTTTTTTTTTAGTAGAGACAGGGTTTCTCCATATTGGTCAGGCTGGTCTTGAACTCCCGACCTTAGGTGATCCGCCTGCCTCGGCCTCCCAAAGTGCTAGGATTGCAGGTATGAGCCACCATGCCTAGTCTGAAGCTGTAATATTTTTAAAAGCCCAAAACTGGGAACAATCCAAATGTTCACTAACAATAGAATCGATGCATAAAGTTGTGTTTTATATACAACACTACACAGCAATAAAAATCAATGAACTGGACAGGTGCAGTGGTTCCCGCCTGTAATCCCAGAACTTTGAGAGGTCGAGGCAGGCGGATCGCTTGAGGCCAGGAATTCGAGACCTGCCTGGTCAACATGGCGAAACCTTGTCTATACTAAAAATAAAAAAATTAGCCAGGCATGGTGGTACGTGCCTATAATCCCAGCTAGGCTGAGGCAGGAGAACTGCTTGAACCCAGGAGGTGGAGGTTGCAGTGGACGGAGATCGTGCCACTGCACTCCATCTTGGGTAACAGAGCAGGACTCCATCTCAAAATAATATTAATAAACCATGAATGGACCCTTACAAACACGGTACTCAGCAAAAGAAATCACATACAAAATACATACTGTATGGTTCCATTTATGTTCTGTTCAAGATAAACAGAACTCTATCTATGATGTTAGAAGTGAGCATGGTGGACCCCTCTGGAAAGAGGGTAAACGCTGGAAAGGAGTACAAGGGGTGGGGTGGGGGCGCTGAGGGTGGGGAGGCACTGGAGGAAATACATTTCTTGATCTGCACACACTGGTATGTGGTCACATTGTGAAAATTCACTATGTTATATATTTTGATTTGTGCACTTTTCCGTATGTATACTTCAACTTTTAAAAAATATATTTAAAAATCAGCTTTTTGGCAGGGCGCGGTGGCTCAAGCCTGTAATCCCAGCACTTTGGGAGGCCGAGGCGGGTGGATCACGAGGTCGAGAGATCGAGACCATCCTGGTCAACATGGTGAAACCTCGTCTCTACTAAAAATACAAAAAAATTAGCCGGGCATGGTGGCTCGTGCCTGTAATCCCAGCTACTCAGGAGGCTGAGGCAGGAGAATTGCCTGAACCCAGGAGGCAGAGGTTGCGGTGAGCCGAGATCGCGCCATTGCACTCCAGCCTGGGTAACAAGAGCGAAACTCCGTCTCAAAAAAAAAAAAACATCAGCTTTTCCAGTGGTGGCAATCCCCCCACAACAACATGTCTCTCACAGAGGATCTCCTTCATCCCTCTCCAGAAGAGGAGAAAAGGAAAAGCAATGCCTGGTACAGAGCCCCTACTCCTACTTCATGGGTGTAAATGCCCAGGATGTGATAAAATCACCATGGGGGTCAGCCTGGCACTAGCAGTAGTTTTGTGTGTTGGCTGCTCCACTGTCCTTCACAGCCTACAGGAGGCAAAGCAAGGCTTAACGAAAGATGCTCCCTAGGGAGGAAGCAGCACCCAAAGTACCTTGAGTCAAGATGAATGGGAAACTATCTCAATAAACACACATTGGATTTAAAAAAATAATAAAAAGGTTTAAAAACTCAGTACTGGTTGCAGCTTTAAATAGCTGAAATTAAAGTTCCAAAACCTCAGTTATAGTTTTCATCTTTAAGGGCTTTTTATGATAATCAGTGCATATTTGGCAAGGAATTCATAGTCATTCTAAATGCTAAATTCGATGTAAAAAATTTAAGAAAAATAAAAATGAGTAATCACAGAAAAGTTCTTCCTCCAGATGAGTAGGTACAAGAATAAAAAAAAAGAAGAAAAGTTCTCTCAAAAACAGTCTCCGATACTTACTCCCTTCACTTGCTTCAGTCTATTGTATTCATCAGCGGCAGCCTATTAATGAAGACACAAAGGAATATGTTTATTGGAGCATTTTCTCTTTCAAAAGTAATATTCCTTACGGTTATACTTTGAAGATAAAAATGACAGCTGATGACAAAAATAACAGCAATTAAAACAATGAAGTCATAAAGCTCCTAAAACTCATGATCAGCAGGAAGGTCTGAAGGAATTCAGTGAAAAGACATCTATGATACTGTATCTTTCACATTTCACTCACATAGGCAGGTAACTCTCTGTTAAGCTACTTCTCATCTCTCCTTCATGCCAGTCCCCATGCTACACTGACACCAGGAAGGTCTTTTATAACACAGAGCTCTGATCAGGTAATATCCCACTACACAACTGGTCTGAACTTCACATTAACTTCTCCCTTCATCCAGTTTCCTACCTTTCCAGTCTCAGCACCCATCATCAGCAACTCCTTTAAAAACTGAGACATGGGGCCGGGCGCGGTGGCTCACGCCTATAATCCCAGCACTTTGGGAGGCCGAGGCGGGTGGATCACGAGGTCAAGAGATCAAGACCATCTTGGTCAACATGGTGAAACCCCGTCTCTACTAAAAATACAAAAATTAGCCGGGCGTGGTGGTGCATGTCTGTAGTCCCAGCTACTCGGGAGACTGAGACAGGAGAATTGCTTGAACCCAGGAGGCGGAGGTTGCAGTGAGCTGAGATCGTGCCATTGCACTCCAGTCTGGGTAACAATGCGAAACTCTGTCTCAAAAAAAAAAAAAACTGAAACATGTTAAATGCCTCAAGATTTTGATCATGTTTCCTTATGACTGTAATCATGCACCTCTCCCCACCCTTCTGTCTGGAAAATTGTTAATGGTTCCTTCACTGTGAAGCCTTCAAAGACTTTATTTGTCCTAAGAGCAGTCAGTTACAGTGCTTTCTACACGTGATGCAAATACAGCGTTAATTATATTGTCTAAATTGTTTAGATGTCGTGGCTTTTTTTGTTTTGTTGTTTTTGTTCTCTTTTGTTTTAGATGTCAGTTTTTTTCTTAAAATATGAGAGCTCTTTGAGGGTGGGGACAGGGTTTTATGTCTCTAACCTCAGCATTTCCACATCATCAATGAACAATAGGTGATCAACAAATGTTTACTGAATTAAGAAAGATCTATAACACCATATAGAAACCATAAAAGAAATACACAAGTCTAACTATATAAAGATGTGAATATGTCAAAACTAAAAAGCAGATCACCTCAACTGGAAAATGGCAGAAAAATTTTACAGCTATAAGTGAGATGTACATCAAATGAGCCCTGTATGGCATCACTAGGAAGATGCAGTTAGTGTAATCTCTCTGGAGGAATTTTGCAACAGAATTTTAAAGGTACATACCCTCTGACTCTCAGCAATTTCACATTCTGGAATTAGTTCTAATTAGATAAGCAGGCTGGGCACTGTGGCTTACACCTGTAATTCCAGCACCTTGGGAGGCTGAGGAAGGTGACCACTTGAAGTTAGGAGTTTGAGACCAGACTGACCAACATGGCGAAACCCTGTCTCTACTAAAAATACTAAATTAGCCAGGTGTGGTGGTGCATGCCTGTAATCCCAGCTACCTGGGAGGCTATGACAGGAGAATCACTTGAACCTAGGAAGTGGAGGTTGCAGTGAGCCAAGATCGAGCCATTGCACTCCAGGCTCGGCGACAGAGCAATACTCCACATTAAAAAAAAAAAAAAAAAAAAATTAGATAGGCAGACAAGAGAGCAAAAACAGAGAGGTTCACCAGTATATACTGGTACTACTGGAATAGGGGAAGACATACTTAAATATCTATCCATAGAAAATGACTCTTAAATTATGATACAACAATCAAATTGAAAATTGTTTACCCAGCAAAGCACACTGCCATGTGTGTACCTATGCAACAATCTTGCATGTTCATCACATGTACCCCAAAACCTAAAATGCAATAAAAAAAAAGAAAAAAAAAAAAAAAAAAAAAGAAAATTGTTTACCTAATTTTAACACATTAGAAAACGTAAAACTAAGTAGGCCTTTATTATTGATATAAAACAATAACTTGCTATTGAGTAAGAAAAGCCAAAAATAAACAGTGCAAGAATGTTTTTTTTTTTAAAGATAAAACCTCACAATGATAAGAGCCCATCAAAGGGACACAGGAAGCGACTGAAAGAGTTCCCAATGGTCAAAGTGAGAACAATTAGAGCTACAAAATAAAGCAGCCTTGGATTATAACTCACAGCATAAAACAGATATCCGTGAGTCCGTACTTACTTAAGTGACTGATAAAGGAACAAATAAACAAGAGACTAATCTCCCTCTAAAAGATGGGGTAACTTTATTAATTTCAGTCTGTATACAAAATACAGTATGAAAAGGATGGATTTAGGAAAAAAAAAAAAAAAAACAGTAACTTTACATGGACAAATACGATCTCAGCCAGGTGATCAAGGGAGGAAAAAAAAGATAACCATAAACTGCTGATTTAAAAGACAGAAAGAAAGTAAATGAAACATGGAAGATGATGTTTTCTTTCTTTTTTTTTTTTTTTTGAGACAGAGTTTCATTCTTGTTACCCAGGCTGGAGTGCAATGGCGCGATCTCAGCTCACTGCAACCTCCGCCTCCTGTGTTCAAGCAATTCTCCTGCCTCAGCCTCCTGAGTAGCTGGGATTACAGGTGTGTGCCCCCATGCCCAGCTAATTTTTTGTATTTTTAGTAGAGAAGGGGTTTGATCATGTTGACCAGGATGGTCTCGATCTCTTGACCTCGATATTCACCCACCTTGGCCTCCCAAAGTGCTGGGATTACAGGCGTGAGCCACCATACCCAGCCTGATATTTTCTTAAAGAAGGTTATGTGATTCCTGCCTGGAGAGGTTATTTTAACAACTAATATTTTGGTGATAAGGATTTCTTGATAGTAGGATTTAAGGTGATTTCTTTTTCTGTATACAGTTCTGTGTTATTAAGTTCTTTTCTACAGAAAGAATGAATTGGCTTTATACATAGAAAAGATAATACGGCTATTTTTCAATTTATTTTGAGATGAAGTCTCACTCTGTCACCCAGGCTGGAGTGCAATGGCGCAGTCTCAGCTCACTGCAACCTCCCTCCTGGGTTCAAGCAATTCTTCTGCCTGAGCCTCCCTAGTAGCTGGGATTACAGGCATCTGCCACCACAGCAGGCTATTTTTTGTATTTTTAGTAGAGACGAGGTTTTGGCATGTTGGCCAGGCTATTCTCGAACTCCTGACCTCAGGTGATCCACCTGCCTCAGCCTCCCAAAGTGTGGGGGATTACAGCCATGAGCCACCATGCCTGGCCGGGCTATTTTATTTTAAATAGGATAGATGTAAATAGAATAGTGCTTTGTAATTCTTAACTATTATACATTAGTACGGACTTCTATTAGAAAAGAATTTCATCCAAAACCCAATCTCAACTGTTCTTCAATGAACTTACAGTTTGATAATTACCAGCACTTTTTAAAAAATAAACATTAATATAAAGGATGCTGTATATCTCCATAGATTAGATTCAATCTATATAATATACAAATATCAGGTTGAATTTACCATATACTCTTCACTTTCTTCTCGATAGTCATCCAATTCTTTATCCAAACGAGAGAATTCTTTATTAATCTCATCAAGTTCTGATTGTAAGCTCTTGTATTCCTGTAGGCCAGTGTCAAAATTTCTCTTGTACAGTTGTCTTTGTTGATCTGAAGTGATAGGTGGGTATTCCCTAAAAGTTGGGAGAGAAAAGAATTACATATATATTCTTAGCAGACATAAAATTCAACACTCCTTCCTCAAAGATAATAAAGCTGGTGGAGTAGGCAGAATGACATTTTCTTGTTTCCTTTTTGTTTCTTTTTTTTTTTTTTTTTGAGACGGAGTTTCGCTCTTGTTACTCAGGCTGGAGTGCAATGGCACGATCTTGGCTCACCGCAACCTCCGCCTCCTGGGTTCAGGCAATTCTCCTGCCTCAGCCTCCTGAGTAGCTGGGATTACAGGCACGCACCACCATGCCCAGCTAATTTTTTGTATTTTTAGTAGAGACGGGGTTTCATCATGTTGACCAGGATGGTCTCGATCTCTCGACCTCGTGATCCACCCGCCTCAGCCTCCCAAAGTGCTGGGATTACAGGCTTGAGCCACCGCGCCCGGCCTCCTTTTTGTTTCTTATGGGGAAAGGGAGCTAGAACACAAACAAGTTCTATTAAGAATGATTATTACTGCTCATTTTAAAAAAATTAAAACTATGCCTACATAATTTGTAGAAGAAACTTTGAAAATCATTTACAAAACTGAAGGTACAAGTCATAGAAACTCATTTATTCTCCATACACAATATCAGTAATGGACTACTTATGTCTCAAGGCCTTTTTTTTTTCTTTTGTGGGGGACAGTCTCACTCTGTTGCCCAGGCTGGAGTGCAGTGGTGCAATCTCGGCTCACTGCAACCTCCACCTCCCGGGTTCAAGTGATTCTTGTGCCTCAGCGTCCCAAGTAGCTGGGATTACAGGTGCTAGCCACCATGCCTGGCTAATTTTTGTATTTTAGAAGAGACAGGGTTTTACCATGTTGGCCAGGCTGGTCTCAAACTCCTGACCTCAGGTGATCCACCTGCCTCGGCCTCCCAAAGTGCTGGATCATAGGCATGAGCCACTGTGCCCTGCCTGTTTAAAAGTCTTAAAACTGGAATTCTGGAACACAAAGTCTGCTTTGATCACCACAGTGGCAGCACAGCTGACTGGAAGTGGCTGTTTCCTGCCACCACCCATAGTTTTCAAACTGGTTTATTTATGTTTTGGTCTTGTTTTTCCAAAGTGGAACTAGCTTATCTAGTCCTTTCATAACAAAAATAGACATTAAAAATGTACATGTATAAAAACATGTGCTCACTGTTAAAACAATTCATTAAAGTATAAAGAAGAAAAACTGAAATTCTGTGTCACGTATATCTCTCAATATACCAGCACTTCTGACACAGGAAGATGATGCCATCAACACATAATCCATAGAGAAAATAATTCGAATCCTTTCACAGGGCTGGAGTTTCACAATGATGTGGAATTTCAAATTGTAGATCTAACATTCTAATATCTTCATTTTACAGAGGGGAGAAACTTAAATGATTTGATCAAAAGGGAAACAAGAATTCTGGATTTTCAAAGTTTTCAATTAAATCTTCCATGATACAAGTTAGGTGAATATTTTACAGATAGGTGGCTAAATCAGGCCAAAAACTCTTGAGGGCAGAAGGGAAGATAAAGTATCAAAATCATTGAGGATCTCAAGCTATCCATGCCCCACCTATCCTTCCTCACTCTCTGAGAAGCAATGTTTTGATTACCATTCACATCGCAAATGTTTCTGATGTTGTCTTAGTCCTCAGAATACTCAGGCATAGGAAGCCTACACGTCATACACAAATACATTTGGTGATGGTGGGTAGACCGGAACAAAACCACCGACACACAAAGAAGCTTAACCAGAACCATAGCCAAACACTAAACTGTTACCTCAATTGTTTACGAAACTCTTTGCCGAAGTTCTTTGGATTAAACTTTAAAAGAAACTCTGGTCTTTTTTTTTTTTTTTTTTTTTTTGAGACGGAGTTTCGCCCTTGTTACCCAGGCTGGAGTGCAATGGCGCGATCTCGGCTCACCGCAACCTCTACCTCCTGGGCTCAGGCAATTCTCCTGCCTCAGCCTCCTGAGTAGCTGGGATTACAGGCACGTGCCACCATGCCCAGCTAATTTTTTGCACTTTTAGTAGAGATGGGGTTTCACCATGTTGACCAGGATGGTCTCGATCTCTCGACCTCGTGATCCACCCGCCTCGGCCTCCCAAAGTGCTGGGATTACAGGCTTGAGCCACCGCGCCCGGCGAAACTCTGGTCTTATCATGAAAGCTTAACTTAAAAAGTAATTGCTGGCCAGGCAAGGTGGTTCAGGCCTGTAATCCCAGCACTTTGGGAGGCTGCACTCCAGCCAGTGCAACAGAGCTAGACCCTGTCTCAAAAAACAAAACCGTTCGAGCATGGGGGCTCATGCCTGTAATCCCAGAACTTTGGGAGGCCAAGGTGGGTGGATCACGAGGTCAGGAGTTCAAAACCAGCCTGACCAACATGGTGAAACCTCATCTCTACTAAAAATACAAAAATTAGCTGGGCGTGGTGGTTCACTCCAGTAATCCCAGCTACTCAGGAGTCCGAGGCAGGAGAACTGCCTGAACCTGGGAGGCAGAGGTTGCAGTGAGCCAAGATCGTGCCACTGCACTCCAGGCTGGACAACAGAGTTAAACTTGGTCTCAAAAAAAAAAAAAAAAAAAAAAAAAAAAGTTGGTGGGGGGAAGCACCAAAGAAAGGCCTTTCAGCCGGGCGCGGTGGCTCAAGCCTGTAATCCCAGCACTTTGGGAGGCCGAGGCGGGTGGATCACAAGGTCGAGAGATCGAGACCAACCTGGTCAACATGGTGAAACCCCGTCTCTACTAAAAATACAAAAAAAATTAGCTGGGCATGGTGGCGCGTGCCTGTAATCCCAGCTACTCAGGAGGCTGAGGCAGGAGAATTGCCTGAACCCAGGAGGCGGAGGTTGCGGTGAGCCGAGATCGCGCCATTGCACTCCAGCCTGGGTAACAAGAGTGAAACTCCGTCTCAAAAAAAAAAAAAAAAAAAAAAAAAAAAAAAAAAAAAAAAAAAAAAAAGAAAGGCCTTTCAAATAAAATCTGGGTATAGAGGAACTTTGTTTTACTGATTGTAAAATTCCCAGACAGTGCTATGGTTTTCCTTTGGCATCACTTTTTTTTCTTTGAGACAGAGTTCATTCTATTGTCACCCAGGCTGGAGTGCAATGGCGCGATCTCTGCTCACTGCAACCTCTTTCTTAAGGGTTCAAGCAATTCTCCTGCCGCAGCTTCCAGAGTAGCTGGGATTACAGGTGCTGGGCACCAGGCCCAGCTGATTTTTGTATTTTTAGTAGAGACAGGTTTTCACCATGTTGGCCAGGCTGGTCTCAAACTCCTGACCTCAGGTGATTCACCCACCTTGGCCTCCCAAAGTGCTAAGATTATAGGCGTGAGCCACCGTGCCCAGCCTCTACTTCAGTCTTTAGCACAAAAGGGTGCTAAAGAAAAAACCAACCGCCGGGTGCAGTGGCTCAAGCCTGTAATCCCAGCACTTTGGGAGGCCAAGGCGGGTGGATCACGAGGTCAAGAGATCGAGACCATCCTGGTCAACATGGTGAAACCCCGTCTCTACTAAAAACACAAAAAATTAGCTGAGCATGGTGGCGCGTGCCTGTAATCCCAGCTACTCAGGAGGCTGAGGCAGGAGAATTGCCTGAACCCAGGAGGCGGAGGTTGCAGTGAGCCGAGATCGCGCCATTGCACTCCAGCCTGGGTAACAAGAGCGGAATTCCGTCTCAAAAAAAAAAAAAAACCAACCAATACCACACAAAACACTGTCTCCAGTCCTGGTTGGCAAAGAATGAAATTACACCAGTGACCTCAATTTAAGAGGCAACAACTCCAAAACTTGATTGGTCTCTTTGAATCAGCAGAAGGTGCATGTGGCCCAGGAAAGGGAGAGCTGACTCGGTACCTGATCCAGTCCTCCTCCAGCTCATCACAGGACTCGCCGCCAGTTGTGTAGTCCGTTTCATAGTGGTCTTGCTCTGTTCTCTTTGACTTTCCTGCTCTTCCCTTTGTAGGAGTCCTTTCTGAAGGTGTCTCAAAGTTACCGCTGCTGCTGTAACGAGGCTGCCTGAAGTCATTCACAGGTGAAGTCACTGGAAGCTCCCGAACCACTTCAGGAACCCTAATAAAAACAGGCATCATTGTTGAGTACGCTACAGCCGCTTGCCAGTGCACTGTAATCACAGAGCACAGCAATAACAAACACCAGGAGACATCTGCATGCAGGTGCACTCACACAAGGACTTCACATGCTCTACACTGACCAGATGCCTAGTTTCCTGCATTCAATTTCACAGCAGCTCAGGGTCCCCTAATACACACAAGCAGTAGCTTCCAATTTAAAGGGGATTAGCCATTTTAAAACCTTCTAAGTACAATGGATCTCAGATTTCATTTTAAAAGTTCAGGCTGATCTACAAGAAGCATTTACTTAACCTGTGCCAGGGACATACTCTACAAAGGCTACCAGGAAAATAATGATCAAGATTCTTTTCTACAGGTTCTTCTAGTTCCATGGAATGCTGCATGGGGAAGAATGTACATATGCTCTTTATAATATTAATCTTTTTTTTTTTTTTTTGACGGAGTCTCACTCTGTCGCCAGGCTGGAGTGCAGTGGCGTGATCTTTGCTCAATGCAACTTCCGCCTCCCGGGTTCAAGCAATTCTCCTCCCTCAGCCTCCTGTGTAGCTGGGGACTACAGGCATGCGCCACCACACCCAGCTAATTTTTGTATTTTTTAGTAGAGATGGGGTTTCACCATGTTGGCCAGGATGGTCTCAATCTCTTGACCTCATGATCTACCCACCTCGGCCTCCCAAAGTGCTGGGATTATAGGCGTGAGCCACCGCACCCGGCCTATAATATTAATCTTATACTCCCATATATCAATTCTCATATTAAGATAAAATCTCGCAGAATAAACTAAATATCTAAACTAAAAAATGGAAAAGCTTTACATTGCAATAAAGTTAAGAGTCCTTTTAGGATTCTTTTTAAAATTGTTGTTAATCCTGAAGCCAGCAGAATGAACAGAAGGGTTACCATCACACACTTACTATTTTTTTCTAATAAAATTATTTAAAGTTGCATCAGAATTGCATATTTAAATAGCTTATGTTTCAGCCACAAACATGAAAATAATCCTGAGGAATAAAATACCAATGTTGAAAGTGGGAGCTACTTCTGAGTAAAAGAAATACGAAGTTTCATTTTCCTGTAGAAAAGGGCAAGAACAGCCTAGCTTTCTAATCAACCATTTAAAATGTCTGAAGCATTTCTTTTTGATGCCAGTTTACATAAACTATCATACTGAGCTTTATAAACTACCAGGTTTAGTCCCTCTTCTAAGTGATCTACATGTGCTTTGCTCTGTTGTCAGAGTCTTAGATTTCTAAGCACACAATTTCCTGCAGACTCTTTGGGGTACATGTGTGTAGATGCAGGTGAGAGTGGTATTTATTTCTTCTTTGAAGATTTATGGCCAGAGGCAGTAGCTCACACCTGTAATCCCAGCACTTTGGGAGGCCAAGGTAGGTGGATCACTTGAAGCCAGTAGTTCAAGACCAGCCTGGCCAACATAGCGGAAACCTGCCTTTACAAAAAATATAAAAATTAGCCAAGCATTGTGGCAGGCATCTGTAATCCCTGCTACTTGAAAGGCTGAGGCAGGGGAATCGCTTGAACTCAGGAGGCAGAGGTTGCAGCGAGCCGAGATGGTACAAGCCTGGGTGACAGAATGAGATTCTGTCTCAAAAAAAAAAAAAAAAGTTTTATTCAGGTAATATGGCTTTGTGTGCTATGCTAATGTTACTTCTAATAGAAGGAAAATGTGACTTTCTCCATGAGTCAATGATTAACAAGTTCCTAGACACTCTGCCAAAACTGCCAGGTACTATGCCGCTTTTTTTTTTTTTTTTTTTTTGAGACGGAGTTTCGCTCTTGTTACCCAGGCTGGAGTGCAATGGCGCGATCTCGGCTCACCACAACCTCCACCTCCTGGGTTCAAGCAATTCTCCTGTCTCAGTCTCCTGAGTAGCTGAGATTACAGGCACGTGCCACCATGCCCAGCTAATTTTTTTGTATTTTTAGTAGAGACGGGGTTTCACCATGTTGACCAGGATGGTCTCGATCTCTTGACCTCGTGATCCACCCGCCTCGGCCTCCCAAAGTGCTGGGATTACAGGCTTGAGCCACCGCGCCCGGCTTTATGCTGCTTCTTTAAGGGAGCAAAACCAAACGTTTAGAACGCAGTGGATCTATTTTAGGGGTGGGGCCAAAGAGAGAGGAAACTAAAGGGCAAAATAAATTAGAAAAAAAACCATAATACCAAAAGTGAAACATCAAAAGCAGGCCTCCTGCCGGAATTTTTATGACACTGATATATGTCTTCACCTTGGAAGTTGTCCTCCCCTCCCCCTACACTCTTTAAAATAGTAGCATACTTGGTCTAGCATGAAAGCTAAAAGCAAAATGTTTCACAAGAAAAGTACTGACTACAGGTGTCAGCAACACCACACTGGGCTAATTTTTAATTTTTTTGTAGACACAGGGTCTCACTATGTTGCCCAGGCTGGGCCATCCACATTTCCCTAGCTGCATTATCTTTTCAGTCTAGCATGAAGTTCCCTTTCCCAAAGCTTATACAGCAAAAACGTTCTGATTGGACCTTTTCCGGTCACTATCATCCTTGAAGCCAGGAGAATGTTCTCTGATAAGCAAGACTCAGATATGCCTCCCAATAATGACGGCAGCTCTAAAATACAGTGTGTGTAACAAACATCATTCTAACAGTCATGGCACTGGATGTTAGTCATGGATTGTTTCTCTGCCTTCACTGACTCTGTGGATAGTAAGAAAAGGATTCTTATGCATGTGTTTCAATTCAGTAATTATCCTGAACCCCTAACATGCGTAGAGTACTGAGCCAGGTGACCGTGGGAAGACCAGGTCCATGTTCTCATGGAGGCCACAAAATAGGGGTGGAGAAAGTGCCCAACAACTACACTGAGAGACAGGGCAAGGTAGGAGCAACAAAGGCAGCGTGGAGGAGTGTGTGTGAGAATAAAACAAATGAACGAAGAATAAAAAGAACAAGCCAGCTGGGTGTGGTAGCTCACACCTGTAATCCCAGCACTTTGGGAGGCCAAGGCAGGGGAATCACTTGAGGTTAGGAGTTTGAGACCCGCCTGGCTAACATGGTCAAACTCCCGTCTCTACTAAAAATACAAAAACTAGCTGGTGTGCTGGTGCATGGCCTGACTAACATGGTGAAACTCCTGTGTCTACTAAAAATACAAAAACTAGCTGGGTGTGATGGTGCATGGCTGTGATCCCAGCTACTTGGGAGGCTGAGGTAGGAGGATCACTTGAACCTGGGAGGTAGAGGTTGCAATAAGCCAAGATGGCACCAATGTACTCCAGCCTGTGTGACAGAGCTAGACTCCATTTCAAAAAAAAAACAAAAAACAAAAACAAGCCAGATGTGGTTGCATGCACCTGTAGTACTAGCTACTCAGGAGGCTGAGGCAGAAGGATCACTTGAGAGCAGGAGTTTGAGGATTTAGTGAGCTATGATCACAACACAGCAGTCCAGCCTGGGTGAAACAGTGAGACCCTGTCTCTAAAAAGTTTAAAAACAAAAACAAAAACAAAAAACATAGGTGGATCTCCCATCACAACAGAAGCTGATCTGAGAATAAAGCCAACAAATCAACAGATGAAAGAGAGCACATAGAGCCCTGCCATCTTCTGAATCCCTTGATTATGTCATGCCTGAAGCTAGCGGCATTCTTGGGCCTCATGTGACTCAGGTAATTCCTCCTTTTTCCCTAAGCTATTTTTTTTTTTTTTTTTTTTTTTTTGAGACGGAGTTTCGCTCTTGTTGCCCAGGCTGGAGTGCAATGGCACGATCTCGGCTCACCGCAACCTCCGCCTCCTGGGTTCAGACAATTCTCCTGCCTCAGCCTCCTGCGTAGCTGGGATTACAGGCACATGCCACCATGCCCAGCTAATTTTTAGTATTTTTAGTAGAGACGGGGTTTCACCATGTTGACCAGGATGGTCTCGATCTCTTGACCTCGTGATCCACCCGCCTCAGCCTCCGAAAGTGCTGGGATTACAGGCTTGAGCCACCGCGCCCGGCCTGCTATTTTTTTCCATGGTTTTTTTTTCAATTGAGAGAGGGTCTCCCAATGTTGCTCAGGCTGGTCTTGAACTCCTGGCCTCAAGCAATCCTCCCACCTCATTGGCTTCCCAAAGTGCTAGGATTATCAGCCTGAACCACCATGCCCAGTCGTAAACTAGTTTAAACTGGGTTTCTATAATTCCTCTAACTTGGATAAAGTCCTAATATCATCCTACCAGCCTATTACTACCAAATGATCTCATTTGACACTGCAAGGAGTCAACCTGCTTTGAAAGCTTTGCACTGCAGCAACATTCAACTTTCTTGACTTACGAAGGGTAATTCAACCTGTGTGTGGACAGGATAGTGGGGAGTGTACCTAATAGGGCTCTCCCAAGTTCATTTGGTAAGCTTGGAGAGGCACCCATCTGCAGCTAAATTCTGGCGTCCCCAATGCAGGATTAATTCTCCAAGCTGACTACCTTAAAATTCTAAGGTATAGGACATTATAAGCAAAAGGAGCCAGATATGAGAGTAATTTGCATGATTCCATTTTATATCAAGTCCAGTAATAACACAGAAACAGATGATGACAGACATCAAAACAGCAGTTACCTTGGGGTGGGTGTGGGTGGGTACTGATGGAGAAAGGGCCCATGGGGACCTGATGTGGGGCTCAAAATGTCTTTATCTTGGTGGTCGAAGTTAAGTGCTCATATCTGGGAAAACTCATCAAGCTGCATACTCAACATTAGTGCTCTTTTCATGGAATGTACGATATGCTATGGAGAAAAATACATCTTAATGCTGAGTTACCTCATCCTTAGCATGGATGGACAGACACAATGTTCTCCATCCAATTCCTTCTCTATCCACTAGAGTGGTGAGGAAGAGAGGTGCTCATCAGTTACTAAGCACCTGCAAGAATGCTTTAGGAAAGATACACTATGACTTATGTGTTTCTTATTCCCATTGAAGCAGATGTCCTTTGAATCCTCTATAACACTCAGTACTCTACTACGAACTACAATTTACAATTTCTTTATTTTTATTTATTTTTATTTTTATTTATTTATTTATTTTGAGACGGAGTTTCGCTCTTGTTGCCCAGGCTGGAGTGCAATGGCGCGATCTCAGCTCACCGCAACCTCCGCCTCCTGGGTTCAGGCAATTCTCCTGCCTCAGCCTCCTGAGTAGCTGGGATTACAGGCACGTGCCACCATGCCCAGCTAATTTTTTTGTATTTTTAGTAGAGACGGGGTTTCACCATGTTGACCAGGATGGTCTCGATCTCTTGACCTCGTGATCCACCCGCCTCAGCCTCCCAGAGTGCTGGGATTACAGGCTTGAGCCACCGCGCCCAGCTTATTATTTTTATTTTTATTTTTAAGACTAAGTCTCGCTCTGTCACCCAGGCTGGAGTGCAGTGATGCAATCTCCACTCACTGCAACCTCTGCCTCCTGCGTTTAAGCAATTCTCCTGCCTCAGCTTCCCAAGTAACTGGGATTACAGGCACATGCTGCCACATCCATCTAATTATTTTGTATTTTAGAAGAGACAGGATTTCACCATTTTACCCAGGCTGGTCTCAAACTCCTGAGCTCAGGCAATCCACCCACCTCAGCCTTCCAAAGTGCTCAGATTGCAAGCGTGAGCCAAAACCCTTCCATCATTACCATGCTCTGGGAAAGATATTGTTCATTCATTGGGGAAAAGTGTACATCATTTAGGATGAATATGTTAAGCATACCAGCTGGCACAGTGGCTCATGGGCTCATGCCTGTAATCCCAGCACTTTGGGAGGCCGAGGCAGGCAGATCATCTAAGGTCAGGAGTTCGAGACCAGCCTGGCCAACATGGCAAAAATCCCTCTCTACTAAAAATTACCTGGGTGTGGTGGTGGGCACCTGTAATCCCAGCTACTCAGGAGGCTAAGGCAGAAGAATCACTTGAACCCGGGAGGTAGAGGTTGCAGTGAGCTGAGATTGAGCCACTGCACTCCAGCCTGGGTGACAGAGCGAGACTCCACCTCAATCAGTCAATCCATCATGTATAGCTATTTAATAGACTATTATACAGCTATAAAAAAGAATAGTGCTTCTTCTTGGTTATAATTAAAAAAAAAAACATAATTCAGTCGACTCATTGCATAGTGATATGGACAATACCCAAGATAAAATATATTGCTAATAATACATTTGATATGATAGTTATTTTTTTCTTTTTTTTTGAAACAGGGTCTTGCTCTGTCACCCAGACTGAAGTAGAGTGGCATAGTCTTGGCTCACTGCAGCCTCGACCTCCTGGGCTCAATCAGTCCTCCCACCTTGGTCCCGAGTAGCTGGGACTAGAGGCATGTGTTACCATGCCTGGCTAATCTTTATATTTTTTGCAGAGAGGGGATTTAGCAATAATGCCCAGGGTGTTCTTGAACTCCTGGGCTCAAGCAATCCACTCACCTCAGCCTCTCAAAGTGCTGCAATTACAGGCATGAGCCACTGTGCCCAGCTCTGGTATGCTAGTATTTTAAAGGGGCGGGGGTGGGGGTGGGGTGGAGAAATCAATGTACTTTGGCCAGTATCTTTATTGTTTTTAATCTCTGGAGAAATACAAAAGAAACTGATGACATTAGTTGCCTCTGGGGAGAGGAACTAGGTAGCTGGTATCTTTTGTCCCTTTCAAATTTTATACTAAATAAAGTATTCATTTCAAGACTAAGATTAATCCTTATTAAGGAATAAGATTTTCAAATGAATATGTGAAACCATCCTGGTTTTCATAAAAAGGGACAACACCAGAAAATGCTGTGGAACCATAAAAGCCTTACAATTTAGAGGCACAGCTGGTGACAAGACATACTATAGATAGATATTTTGCATGTATGAAAGTTCTGCAGATTGGCCCTTTTATAGTTCATGGGCGTGAAGATTGGGTGTTCACACACGTGTGAAATGTGCCACCCTCAGATCTTGTTACAATATTTGCACATTACCTGTCTGACATGAAAAAGAAGAGGAAAAAAATGTTCTGCAAATCATAGCTTAAAACTTTTAGAGGCTGAGGCAGGAAGATCACTTAAGGCCAGGAGTTCGAGACTATCCTGGGCAACAAAGCAAGATCCCCCTTCTCTACAAAAATAAAAATAAGCCGGGCGCGGTGGCTCAAGCCTGTAATCCCAGCACTTTGGGAGGCCGAGGCGGGTGGATCACGAGGTCAAGAGATCGAGACCATCCTGGTCAACATGGTGAAACCCTGTCTCTACTAAAAGTACAAAAAATTAGCTGGGCATGGTGGCACGTGCCTGTAATCCCAGCTACTCAGGAGGCTGAGGCAGGAGAATTGCCTGAGCCCAGGAGGCGGAGGTTGCGGTGAGCCGAGATCGCGCCATTGCACTCCAGCCTGGGTAAGGAGAGTGAAACTCTGTCTCAAAAAAAAAAAAATAAATAAAATAAAAAATAAAAATAAAAAATTAGCCAGGCATAGTGGCACACACCTGTGGACCTAGCTAAAGTGAGCTATGAGGCAAGAGGACTGCTTGAGCCCGGGAGTTCAAGGTCACAGTGAGACGTGATCACACCACTGAACTGTAGGTCTGGGCAACAAAGTGAAATACCGTCTCAAACAAATTATGGGAAAACAAAAAAAAACCTTTATAAGGATTGCATCTCTCTTGTGTACCCTTTTCCCTAACAGTCTCAAGTGCTTTAATTTTTGTCAAAATCCAAAGAGAAGAAAGAACAGTGAAAATGTGCTTTCTTGCTGGGTGCAGTGGCTCACACCTGTTAATCCTAGCACTTTGGGAGGCCAAGGTGGGTGGATCACGAGGTCAAGGGATCGAGGCCATCCTGGCCAACATGGTAAAACCCTGTCTCTACTTTAAAAAAAAAAAAAAAAAAAAAAAAAAACTGGGTGTGGTGGCACTTGCCTGTAGTCCCAGCTACTCAGGAGGATGAGGCAGGAGAATCACTTGAACCTTCGAGGTAGATGTTGCAGTGAACAGAGAGCACACCACCGCACTCCAGCCTGATGACAGAGTGAGACTCTGTCTCAAAAAAGGAAAAACAAAGTGCTTTCTCCAAATCATTCACAACTGAAATCAATAGCAAGATCAAGTCTGAATACCAAAACAAAACATCTAAGAGTTTGAGGAGTAGTCAGACTGCCAGTCTTTTCCCAAATTCGATCCCAGGGTAATAATAAAGGCTATTGTCTTCAAATTAATTCTGTAATTAATTCAGCTGCTGGTGTCATCTTATGGGTTTCCAGGCTCAAACTACTATGTACCCAGAGTAAATCTCATATATCATGGCCCACTAATCAGGAGTAATGCATTGGGGATAAAACTTGGAAGTAGGCCGGGTGCAGTGGCTCACGCCTGTAATCCCAGCACTTTGGGAGGCTGAGGCGGGTGAAAGCGGGAGGATCATTTCAGGTCAGGAGTCGAAGAACAGCCTGGTGGCCAGACATGGTGGCACATGCCTGTAATTCCAGCACTTTGAGAAGCTGAGGCAGGCAGATCGCTTGAGCCCAGGAGTTTAAGAGTAGCCTGGGCAACATAGCGAGATCCTATCTCTACGAAAAAATAGAAGAACATTAGCTGGACATGGTGGTGCAAAGCTACTTAGGAGACTAAAGTAGGAGGATTGCTTGACCCCATGAGGTCAAGGCTCCAGTGAGCTATGATCACACGACTGCACTCCAGCCTGGGTGATAGATTGAGACCACGTCTCTACCAAAAAAATAAAATGCTTACAGAATAAGGAAAATATTTCTCTATGTCTATAAAATGTAGGTGTGCTTTGTCTATTGTTGTTGTTGTTGTTTTAAGTGTCACTATATTACCCAGGCTGGATTGGAGCTCCTGGACTCAAGTGATCCCTCCCACCTCAGCCTCCCAATTAGCTGGGACTACTGGTGTTTATCACTGTGCCAGGCTTTGTGATTGTGTTTTATTTTGTTGTTGTTGTTGTTGTTGTGTTTTTTTTGTTTTTGATACAGAATTTCACTCTATCACCGAGGCTGGAATACAGTGGTGCGACCTCAGCTCAATGCAACCTCCACCTCCCATGGTCAAGTGATTCTCCTGCCCTCAGTCTCTCAAGTAGCTGGGATTATAGGTGTGTACCACTATGCCCAGCTAATTTTTGTATTTTTAGTAGAGATGGGGTTTCGCCATGTTGGCCAGGCTGGTCTTGAACTCCTGACCTCAGGTGATCCACCCACCTCGGCCTCCCCAAGTATGAGGATTAAGCAGAAATAGCAAAACCACATTCCTAGGGTGAAAGAACCCAACCCAGCCTTTCCATTAAACAAGCAAGTGAAATGAAGCATTTTCAACTTAGAGGCGAAAGAGAACCCCATCCTCTTCATCCTGGTCTTCCAAGCAGCCAGAAGCCTCTCTACCAAAAAGCAAAGATTATGGGCGTAAGCCACTGCACCTAGCCATGTGATTGTGTTTTAAGAGTCTAAAAAAATTAAAGTTATAGAAAGCTAAGATTTATTATTGAAGAAAGAAAAATGTTGAGTAAATTTAAAGTGTACAGTAACGTACTTCACATTCACTCACCACTCACTTCCTTACTCACCCAGAGCAACTTCTGGTCCTGCAAGCTCCACTTATGGCAAGTGCCTTACAAAGACGGACCCTCTTTTTAATCTTTTACATTTACTGCACCTTTTCTGTGTTGAGATATACTAATATTTCACTGTATTACAAATGCCTAGAGTATTCAGTACATTAACATGCTGTCCACATTTGCAGCGTAGAAGCAAGAAGCTATACTATGTAGCCTAGGCTTGTAGTAGGCTATCCATCTAGGTTTGTGTTAAGTACACTGTAATGTTCACACAAGGATGAAATGCCTAAAGACACACTTCTCAGTATCCCTGTCATTAAACAACCCATGACTGTATATGTAAAAATACCGACTTTATCATCCTTAAGCAAAAATTACATCCCCGTCCATACCAATTATCTCCAATATTCTTCTCTGACTAGTCATTAGGTGGAATTAAAATTGGGCTTTAGGGTAAGTGTTTCCACCAGAGACACCACTTCAATAATCACGTGGCACCTACCCTAGGCCAGATGCTCACTGAGGTTTCACATCTCCCAGCAATACCGAGGACCTAGCACAGCAAATGAAATACCGCAATTCCTGGATTCAAATGAAGTCTTCTAGTTTAAAAGAAATGTATGTGGACAAGGTTGATTAATGTGCAATGTCCTCCTTCTGTTTATGAGATCCAACAATTACAGGCAAAAGAAGAGGTTGAGCACAGTACTGACCTCTGCTCAGTAACTTCCTTTCACCCTGACCTAAACTTCAAAACTAGAAACAGAACCACATTTCCAGAGTGAAAGAACCTAACCCACCTTTCAATTAAACAAGCAAGTGAAAAGCATTTTCAACTTAGAAGGGAAAAAGAACCCCACCCTCCTCATCTCCCTCTTCCAAGTAGCCAAAGACCTCTCTATCAACAAAGCAAAGGTTGTTGTAATACCAAGATCCAGATCCAGTTTTTGTGTACACGGCCGGATACTTTTTTACTTTTTCTTTATTTTCCCACTGCATTCCTAGAGGATGCTGGATTTTTTTTTTTTAATGGATAAAGGCAAAAAACAACAAAAATCAATTGTGCAAATACTCATTTTTACACTCAGTCTTGAGTTGCTACTTACGGTGTGGATTTATAGGAAGACTCTGGATAAAACCGCTTGTCGTTCACTTTGCCATTGGAAGAGTATGCCATGGGACTGTCAACTCTTTCCACGTAGTCAGATGGAGGTGGAGGCATGTCCTCTGTGCCTGCAGACACATTTTTAACCTTAAAAAAACCCCAAGAGATAGTTATTATTTATCTTGTAATGAAAAGGGGGAAGACATTGAAGAAAATTATCTTATGTACATGATCTAATATTTACGTGGCTTGTTAAATGTCATTAACACTAATAATAAGGGAATCAATACAGGTTAATAGTCAAATCCATTTTTTAATAGACATATAAACAGTGCTATTGCTAAACAGGTATGAAGAAAAATCTGATCACCTAATTCTCATCCTAATGTGATTTAGTTTGAATAATTAACTATGGCAATTTTCCACCTCCATATTAGGAAGACTGGTCTTATTATCTCATGCCTGCATTAGAAAGACCAGTCTCATGGGCAGGGTGCGGTGGCTCAAGCCTGTAATCCCAGCACTTTGGGAGGCCGAGGCAGGTGGATCACGAGGTCAAGAGATCGAGACCATCCTGGTCAACATGGTGAAACCCTGTCTCTACTAAAATATACAAAAAATAGCCAGGCGCGGTGGCTCAAGCCTGTAATCCCAGCACTTTGGGAGGCCGAGGCGGGTGGATCACGAGGTCGAGAGATCGAGACCATCCTGGTCAACATGGTGAAACCCCGTCTCTACTAAAAATACAAAAAATTAGCTGGGCATGGTGGTGTGTGCCTGTAATCCCAGCTACTCAGGAGGCTGAGGCAGGAGAATTGCCTGAACCCAGGAGGCAGAGGTTGCGGTGAGCCGAGATCGCGCCATTGCACTCCAGCCTGGGTAACAAGAGTGAAACTCCATCTCAAAAAATAAATAAATAAATAAAATAAAATATACAAAAAAATTAGCTGGGCATGGTGGCGCGTGCCTGTAATCCCAGCTACTCGGGAGGCTGAGGCAGGAGAATTGCCTGAACCCAGGAGGCGGAGGTTGCGGTGAGCTGAGATAGTGCCATTGCACTCCAGCCTGGGTAACAAGAGCGACACTCCGTCTCAAAAAAAAAAAAAGAAAGACCAGTCTCATTTAACCTAAGCTAGGTCTGGGTTAGAATTTTCATTTCTGACAAGCTCTCAGGTAGTGCTAATGTTGCTGTCACCATGCTTGGAAAAGCACTAATCTAGAACAAAGCACACTGGTGGTTCTTAATCCATTCATCTCTAAACTTGGAATGTTAAAACCACAGAAGAAATTAAGAAGCTCAAAGCTGACTTCTGCTCTTTTAATAAGAGATTTGTTTATTCTCCCTTAATGTATGTTCTCAATGGCTCTATTATTAATAACCTACACAATGTATTACACAACATCAGTGCCTTCCCTTTTCACTTTCCTTATTTCATTCTGATATGTAAGTGAATTCATCCTACAGAAGTAACATGCATTAGAAACTATGCCTTGTTAATGTAAAATACATATATAGAGACTTCTTATCTGAGGAATGCAAGCCCTTTCTTAAAGCTTATCAGGCCAGAGAGGCATTAAAGTCCTACTTTCCCCTTGAGCTATGTAGTTATCTCCAGAAACTGCTTAACCTAACAGTGCTACCCTGCTATAGCTCAACAACCTATCAACATTATTTCCATAAATCAACGAGAATTCCTGATGAACAACTTTGTTTCTGCCCACTCCTTGTCCCCTTTTTTGCCTTTAAAAACTTGCTTATAAAAAAGGCGGAATGGAGCACTCCCCAAGGCAGCTTGGAAGCATGTCCCAGTCAGCTGTTCTCAACCTTGGCCCAAATACATTCTCTGTATTAATTTTGCCTCAGCTTCTTCCTTTAGGTCAACATTAACATGGAAAGCTTACCACAGAACCTTTGGGAGAAAAAATTTAAGTATAAAAAGTATAGCCTATTAGACTCCCAACACTGTTAGATTTTATGCAACAGTTCCAACAGTCTTTAAATTTCACCTAATAGTCTTTAAATTATTACCTATGACTCTGGAATTCTTTTTTTTTTTTTGAGACGGAGTTTAGCTCTTGTTACCCAGGCTGGAGTGCAATGGCGCGATCTCGGCTCACCGCAACCTCCGCCTCCTGGGTTCAAGCAATTCTCCTGCCTCAGCCTCCTGAGTAGCTGGAATTACAGACACGCGCCACCATGCCCAGCTAATTTTTTGTAGTTTTTTTAGTAGAGACGGGGTTTCACCATGTTGACCAGGATGGTCTCGATCTCTCGACCTCGTGATCCACCCGCCTCGGCCTCCCAAAGTGCTGGGATTACAGGCTTGAGCCACCGCGCCCGGCAATGACTCTGGAATTCTTAAAAAAAAAAAAAAAAAAAAAAAAAAAAAAAAAAAAAATCAAACACCTCCGACAAGTGCTAACCCTAGATGAATCACTTAGCTGTTGTAAAGCAAAAGAACAGAAATAAAGTGTGGAAAAAAATAAAAATAAATCTACAAATTATTTCTGTGAAAAAAAGCAGCTATTCAAAAGGGTTGAACTACTTTAGCTTGGTGATAAGATCAGTGGCATTTTAGCCAGGTGAGGTACATGTGCCTGTAGTGCCAGCTACTCAGGAGGCTGTGGGAAGATCTCTTGAGCCAGAGAGGTGGCGGCTGCAGTGAGCTGTGACTGTGCCACTACACTCCAGTCTGGGTAACAGAATGAGACCGTGTCTCAACCACACACACACACACACACACACACACACACACACACACACAGAGTGGCAACAGCATCAGATTATCTGGGCTGACCCCAGGTCTGCCAACCACAAATTCTATAAAGCCTCAGTTTTCATCTGAAAAAAAAAAAAAAAGGAGAAAACTACCTACTACATAAAGTTATTTTGATTAAATGAGATGACAAGGTATCACATTTACCACAGTGCCTTTAAACACAGTAAAAATGCAAAAGATGCTGGATTTTAGAATAAAGGCCACTGGATCTGATCAAATCATTTTTACAAGAATTTGGAAGTGACAGAAGACCTTTATTTGGATTATTCTGCTATTATAAAGCCTTACAATTAGGTTCAGCATCAATACAGTGTACCTTCCTGCAATACACATTCCTTACGTCTTAAGTTTTAAAACATGAGATGGGCTCTCTTGACTTACCAGGCAGCATCACATACAGAAAGATATTTACCTACCCGTTAAAGTACATTAGGGTATTCTTGATTGTTTGACATTCAGAGTCAGAAAGGAATAGAATCATTTCCCTCTGGAAGTGGAATTTGGCAGCAACTGTGAAACCAGTGGGTGGGCTGCCACGGAGTGTGCTCAGATCCCACCACAGGAGGGAGGGTAGGGGAGCCCTCCTGGTTCCCACAGAATTCCTTACAACAAAAGCTTACAAAAGAAGTTGCCAAGCTTCACAGGCAAATGCTTCACCAAACCAAAGGCCTGTTCTTAATCCAATACCTCATCAGAATTTAAAAATCCTTCCTTTGCTTAAAAACCCATTTTATAGTCAAAGATGACTGCCAAAATAAAAATTTTTTTAGATGAAAGCCCATTTTATACTTCTCTAGGCCCCACCTCTTCCCCCCAGCCTGAGCTTTGGCAGAGTCTAAGAGTCAGAGATTTCTTACTGGCTAGAACACCCTTCCCCTTTTGGAAGCTATTCTTTATTTGGGCTTCGATTCCAGGTTCAAGGGCCACCACCTCCTCCTTGAAGCCTTCCATACAAGGCCCTCCTGGAGGAGGCACCAACCTGTGCTATCTCCCCACCCCTGTGCATACAAACCTCCCACCAGATCGCTTATGCACTGCCGAACAAGTGCTTACTCACAGTACAATGGCTTGTTCACCTATCTCACTTCAGTAGGCAGTGGGCGGCTTACGCTACCACTATCTGACTGCTTACAATGAGTGAAATATTGAAGTGACAGATTCTTTAGTAGGCATGGCTTTACAGGCAAATATTCTTCCTTTTTCAGAAATGAGGAAGCTGTGGCTCAAGGAGTTAGACAACTTTCCCAAGAAACTAGACGTAGAAAATGGAAGGGCGGGCAGTGTCTTGCTTTCCTCTTTGAGTCTACAAAGGCCCACATGGTGTCTGGCACAAATCAGGAGCCCCAAGTTTGCTACATAAAGATTACCTCATTGATTACTGTTCTATTCCTACGTTGTTTACCCAAGTATCTTATCAGTGAGGCACACCGAGCTGACCTTTATCTCTTAGCGTCAGCAGAACTGGACTAGCTTGACCACTGACTCCACCCTCCAGCACAGATCTTCGACTACTTAAACCTTTTCTATACACATGCATAATAAATTCCAAGGCAGGGTTCCTTTCGGCAGCACATATACTAAAGTTGAACAATACAGAAAAGATTAGCATGGCCCTCGCACAAGGATGGCACCAAATTCATGGAACATTCCATATACACATATATTTTAAATCCTGAGCCAGCTGTGATGCCAGACTCAAAGAAGAATAAGCAGCATCCTTTTTCCTCAAAAGGAGCTTAGAGTCTAGAGGCAAAGGGAAAATATATTTGAAAAACAAGGAGTAAGATCAGTTTTTTTTCCCCTCTTTACACTTCAACTTGTCTGAAAAAAAGGCTAAAATATTTTTTCCTCTAATCCACTTAATGGTACCAATGAAAAGTAAGTATAAACCCATTATCTGCAGCTTTTGAAGGACAGTAGGAAAGTAGAATGGGGGTTGGGGGCAATACAAAGTGAACAGGTGCTCGTTTCCACAAGGAATCCCCAACCTATATTTCCTATTATTATGAGAAAGGACTTCTGAATTTCACTGTTATTACTGATACGATCCCCAGTCAGCTCATCAAACTCAATGATGTAGTTAAAGTTATCTTTAAAAAGATTTTTTTTAAATTTTTTAATTTTTAATTTTATTTTATTTTTTGAGACGGAGTTTCGCTCGTTACCCAGGCTGGAGTGCAATGGTGCGATCTCGGCTCACCGCAACCTCCCCCTCCTGGGTTCAAGCAGTTCTCCTGACCCAGCCTCCCGAGCAGCTGGGACTACAAGCGTGCGCCACCATGCCCAGCTAATTTTTGTATTTTTAGTAGAGACGGGGTTTCACCATGTCAACCAGGATGGTCTTGATCTCTTGACCTCGCGATCCAC